CCCGTCCCCGGCAGTGACATGAGGTGGGATCAGATATAATGACAGGGGCATGGCCAGACCCTCATGTTCTTCCATCCCACCTCACATCAGTCCCAGGGGCAGAGAAAGGGTCAGGTGTCTTCCTAACATGGATCATGGGGAATGTGGGTCACCAGGGCTCTTCCCAAACTGGGTCCTGCGATGAAGGATGAATTTGGAGCAGCGGATGAGAAGCATTTCGTGCACTCGGGGCACTCACACACTTACCGGTGCCTCCGTTGGTGTTGGATCAAGTTAGAGCTGCTGGAGAAGCTCTTCCCACACTCCCCACACTTGTAGGACCTCTCCCCAGTGTGGGTGCGCTGGTGGATGACGGGGGTGGAGTTTTGCTTGAAGCCCTTCCCACAGTCGGGGCAGCGGAAGGGCCTCTCATCCGTGTGAATCCGCTGATGCAGGAGGAGATTGGAGCTGGTCTGAAACCTCTTCCCACATTCAGAACATTCGTAGGGTTTCTCCCCAGTGTGGATGTACTGGTGGCGGATCAGTTCAGAGCTGCAGCTGAAGCCCTTCCCACATTCCCCACACTCATAGGGCCATTCCCCACTGTGGATCAGCCGGTGACGGATCAGGTGTGTGCTCGTGTTGAAGCTCTTCCCACACTCCAAGCACTTGTAGGGCTTCTCCCCAGCGTGAAGCTGCTCATGGACCACCAATTCTGAGCTGCAGCTGAAGCTCTCGGCGCCTTCCTGGCACAGGGTGGATCTTTTCCCCTCAGAGCACCCTGGCCTGCCTTTGCAGCCCCTCTTTACACAACATCTCAGTGACTTTTCCGTCGCACTGGATTCCTGTGCTGCGGAGCTGCTCAAAACAGCCTCTTCATGAGATTCTGCCTGGTGGATTTGTCTTCCTCGGTCTCCAACCTCAGCTCATTTTCTGTGGGAGGAAGGACATGGAGAGGATGGGACTTGCTTCCGTGCCAGAGGGAAGGGGAAGCAGATTCTCCCCAGTCCATCACTGGCAGGATGGCGTTGGCAGTGGTGTTGTCCTGCAGCAAGGAGTGATGGAGGAGAGGGGTAAAGGAGTGATGACTTCTTCCTCACCTTCCTGGGTGCCCTCTGACATCTGCCTCTTCTTTGCAGCCCTCTCCTCCATCCAGCCAACGTCTGGGAATGGGAAATCCTGGTTTAGAGGGAAAAAGAAGGTGTGAGCATGCTGGGTTTGGGGTTACTCTTGCCCAAGTCCATCTCTAGAAGTTACCAGGTATATCATGACTGTAAAACCTCTTACATACTGTGCTGGCTTACAGTGGCAGAGAAATGAACCCTACTTAACTTCCCTGTGAGAGATTAAAGGTGGGAGTTACAATTCGCAAAAGATATTACAAGAAATACGACACTGATTAACCCACAAAGGCACAGTGTAGCCAGGCACCCTGGGACAGGAACAGAAGAGTGTTCATTGGTTCCTGTGCTGTGCACCATGTGGTCCCTCTGCACGAAAAGCAAAAGGAAAGAAACAAAACCTGATGGTCAGAGTGGTGGTCACAGTCTTGTCAAAGTGATAGTCACAGTCTGGTGGAAAGCAGTGGTCGCAGTCCTGTTGGAGTTGTGCTCCTCCTCCAGATCTGTTGAGTAGTGCCAGAAGTCCCAAAGTACCAAGGCTTTATATGCTCAGGTTCAGCAGGGAATGCTCAGTACCTCCCMCAGGGYGGGGARTTTCACAATGGAATGATGTCACCCTGTGACTCATGGGACATTTGGGGGGTCCTTGATGATGTCAGTCCTTGCATCTCCCCATTGTGCTGGTGCCATTGATTCCATGATGGCCCATTAGCAGAGGTGACCCC